CGTCCTTGCCTGGGCACGAATTCAGATATAAGTAGAGCGACCTCGACGACGAGCAATTTATCGTTCTGCTGCTATAAGGCCTGAAAAGAGCAACGGTTTGAGCAACGGTTGATCGTCAACCAGAGGAAGCCGGAAAACCATTGAATGCTTAGCAATTTCCCAAAGCTGCTCGACGTACTCGATCCTTGTTGGACCTACAATGGTTGAGTAACACGTCGAAAAGCTCCAACGACTCTTCATGACAAGGAGCAGTTTCCAAACCACAAAGGGCTGGAGCAAAGACTGCACGTTTTATGTTAGTATCTTTAGAACCCAATAACGCCTTATGAGAGTCTCACAAGGTCTCATAATGAGACCTCAGGTCCTGAGGCTCAAGACCACAGCCATGCAACCTGTCTTCCGGGAGTTGCTGAAGCCCGATGTCTGCACGGTGCTACCAAATTCCTTTACGGGAAACTACTCAAGTAAACTACACCTTTTAAACATCTAGTTAGTCTTTCGAATCATCAATTTCGTCGGGTTGTTAGGGCGGACGCGCGAAGTTGGAGGTACGAATCCGAAACGGGAAGATCATATTCGCAATTAGAACTTTCAACTTCGTCATAGAACTTTCAAGTTCGTCCGAAGTCGATAGGAAGTACAAGTTCGTGTCAATCGAACTTTTAATTTCGACTTTCGAACCTTCGAGTTCGTCATAGAACTTTCAATTTCGTCGAGTACACCTTCAGACCTTCAATTTCGTCCCTTTAGAAAAATCGACTTCGTCGTTCGGAACTTCAATTTCGTGTTTGCGGGGCAATAAGGCCAGTACTCTCATGATGAGGCTTATGATTAGTGCTTGCGGTACACAACCGAAGTAGTACTGCTGTAGTGCTGTAGTACTACTACTACTAATCTTGTGATTCACAAGACTACACACCAGCCTCTCTTTTGCAAGGGGTGTTCAGGCTAATACTCAAGTTAAGAGTCTCTGATTACCATGGCCAGAAAGGTGATGAAGGGTGCAAGATGACAGTCCTGTCGTATTCCTATCTCTACGAGGAATAGGTCAGATATGCCCTCTCTAGTTTGCACTCGCGCAACAGTACGCCAGCTTCTTATCATCACCAGAATGAACTCAATATGATCATCTCTATTGGATGGTGTATGGCTCGCTGCCGAGAACCGACTTCTTAATCATACCAAAATTCAAGTGCTTCAGACTTGTTCGATGGACGCGGATGCTCCGCTTGTAATCCTCTGCTCATCTCTCTTTTTTGGAAACAGAAATATACACGTTTGACATCGTAGATTATACGTGTCACAAGTGAAACGTTCATCAACAGCCTTAGCCAGTCAAACAAATAAACAGAGCCCACAGAGAGACGGGCGGAACAATGGTACGTAGTATTGGCTATACTGCAGTATGAGGGTTGGGGAGTTCACCATCAGCCACGATGTCGCTGGAAGACTCTCCCGCTCTCTTGGAGAGAGCAGGGGCCGTATGCGGATCCTGATTCATGAATCTGAGTCCATGATTCAACTCACGCTCTGATCCTGATTCATGATTCAAGTCACACCTTGATTCGAGAGAACTGATTCAGATTCTTAGCTCAGGAGAAAGAGTCGAGATTTGTGAGTATGAGTACTTGAGACAGAGTCAGATTACGTAATCATGAGCAAGATCCTTGATCCTTGATTTTAATCAGCCGCTGAATCCGATTCCTGATCCTTAATCACGATTCAAGATTCAAATCTATACTCAATGGCTGATTCGGAGTTTTTGACACTGAGACAGAGTATTTCATCAATTCGAGATTAAATACTCAGAGTTGGGATTTTTACTCATGATTCGAGATTAAGTCTCAGGAGTCGAGATTCTTTTACTCAAACTCAAAGCGCTCAGATTCAGGATCGCAATCTCACCTTGAGCATGATCCGGGATCGAACTCATGATGCACAAGCTCACAGTTTAAAACGGGGATTAATCTTGATTCTGTACCGGGGGTCCGGACCCCCGGTACTAAACCCTGATGCTGATTCTCGACCTTGGTTCACGGCTTCAGCACACCGTGCGCTGCGCACGCCACGGTAGACCTTCTCGGCTCCTTGCGAGTATGTTCTTGGAATGACCGTACCGGGGGATAGAACCTCGGCTTCGACCAAGCGAAAGCATATCCCTAACCAGTTGAGCTGCGAGATTATACGATGCAAGACGGTGCAAGGAGGTTTAGCGCACATAATACAAACGGGCGCTTAATATGACCATTCCCGGGATTAGAACCTCAGCTTCTAGCATGTGAAAGTATCTCCTTAACCAGTTCAGCTACGAAACCACACGATACAAAACGGTGTATGGAGGTATAGCGCATGTAGTGCATGCAACCATACGGCGCCGCGCGCTGAGCTTCCGCTTAGAACGTCTGAGTCAAACCCAGAGTTGATTCCGAGTGAACATATTAAAAAGTTTGAATACGGATGTGTACAAGCGCCACAAAAGATCTTCTTCCGAAACTTTATCATTGCTGTAGCGTAACAGGAAATGTGCATGGATTCGGGGCGGATCTACCAGGTTCTACTCTTGTAGAGGGACGTTTTCTTCCTTTTTTGAAGTTGTCACTTTCGGTTCTGGGGCGTAGCGACTATGATCTTTGTTTTGTCAAAAATGTCTGATTCAAACTCTGATTCCCTGATCCTCGAAAATACTCAGATTCAATGGAATCACCCGAAGAATCACCCTCATGAGCAAGGAATATTGAGTAAGAGTATTAATCAGCCGAAAAATCAACTTTAGATTCTCGAATCAGCTCAGAGATCCACATATCCTCACGATGATCCTGATTTTTCGCTCCAGAGTAAAAAATCGGTGAATCAGGGGTTATTACTCACCTTCTGATTTTTGCATCTGAGTAAATACTCTGACTCACCTGTTGCATCAGGATCCGCATACGGCCCCAGCTTTCTATGGAGGGCTGTCTAAACAGATATGAAGTCGAACAGTTAGCGTGCGCCACCAAAAAAAGTCACGCCGCCGCCGTCAGTACTCATACTGGCGGGAGGTAGTGAATCTGAAGGCGAGTCGTCTGAGATGGAGGAGGCGAGGTAAGCTGCTTTGTCGCGGACTAAGCTCTTGCCCAAAAAGACAGCTGATCTGGTAGTATGGGTTGGCAGGAACAATGCAGTTCTATACAGGCCTCGGTGGGTGGAAGAGTTGGCTGGTGGTAAGGAGCTGAGGAGGAGGAGGATGAGGAGGAGCCGACTTCTGGAGGCGAGCGATCTGAGGATGATGAAGATGGGTTGGACTTCGCCCCGGGTAGAATCGACTTCAAAGACCCTCCTAGTGTGTCGAGGAAGCACAAGGATGGTTTATCCCGGACTGGGCGGCGACGACTTCCTGTAAATGAAGAGAGTCTATATCAGGCTGGCATACGAGGCTAGAGACCTGTCGGAGGCCGTCTGAAACTGGGTGGGGTGGGGGAGGGTTTATGATGTATGTAGAGACCAAAATGCAGCTGCTACTGTCGTACTTGAGCTATTTGATCTACTACTTTATGCCCGAGGCTAGAGGGGCTAGTGTGAGGTAGCATCCTTTTATTGGTAAAATTGCCTGAATTAAGGCTATGCTTGAACGCCTGAAATCGATAGAGAAGACAGTTGGGGATCAGGCCGATAAGGTTGTCAGTCAAGCGCAGACGGCTGAGCCCGATCCTGAGATGAGGGATTTCGGTGAGCTACTAGCTGGACTTTGCCGGGGCTGATGAGGAAGGGGAGGAGACTGAGGACAGTGAAGTGGTGGAAGAGGAGATGAAACCGGCTGCCAAGGTCTCGAAGGCTGACTTCGTGGAGCCCCTAGGGTCGACGTGAACGGAGGCTGAGCGGCCGGGGGCTCTGTGAGAGATGATGGGGAGGAGGATGCAACTGAATTGTTGAGGGCTAAGGCTGGGAGGAAGCAGAAGAAGTTGCGGGCAAGGGTGGCAGAAGGTAGTTGGTCGTATGTGGCTGGTTGGTGGGTAGTCTTCTGTTGTAGGTATGCTGGAGTGGAGTCGGTGAGCTTACACGCAGTAGCCGAGGTGGGGGACTTGGTCCACACACGAAGCAATCTGGCGGATACTCTCAATTCGGTAGGTAGTGTTGGTATAGGGTTGGTATGTTTCTCTTGCCGTACCAGGTGGGGGAGGTTGCCTCTGATCGTAAGAGCCGTGCGGGTAGGGATGATGATGTGAAGGTGCGACAGGGCATGTCTATGAAGGATATAAGGGCTGGTAGGGTGAAGCGAATAATGGGAAGGTAAGGAGAGTCTGAGGAATGTTAAAGGATGTCAGAGGAGTCGTTTAGGTCGAGAGGGCGACAGTGACAGGAGGGACCTTAGACGATGCGGAAGTGAGGGAGGCTGACTCGACGGCCAAGGCACAAGCGGTCATACCGGACGAAGAGGTAGTAGTGGTACTGGGGGTTGGCTTCATGCTTGCTTGGTCATGGCAATGGGTGGTCAATCGATGAAATGTTAGATGTGTTGTTGTTCGCAAGGAAAGTGTGGTCAGTTTGGCAATACTGTTGGACACGAATGGTGTTCAGATGGAAGTCTAAGACTTGCGGTCGACTAGCCATCAATAAGAGTGAGGACTTTACACACGTGCGGGAAAAGGAAGACCGGAACGCACGTGTTATGGACTAGAGGGCAGTCAAACGTCGTAAGGGGGCATTCAAAGGTCGTAAGGGGGCAGTCAAACGTCGTAAGGGGGCATTCAAAGGTCGTAAGGGGGCAGTCAAAGGTCGTAAGGGGGCAGTCAAAGGTCGTAAGGGGGCAGTCAAAGGTCGTAAGGGGGCAGTCAAACGTCGTAAGGGGGCAGTCAAACGTCGTAAGGGGGCAGTCAAACGTCGCAAGGGGGCAGTCAAACGTCGTAAGGGGGCAGTCAAACGTCGTAAGGGGGCAGTCTAGGATGGTGCATATAGTGGAGGAGCCACTGGTATTCGTATCAACGTCAAGGAGGGTGTCAAACTCGGCTAGAGTAGTGGCTTGGGAACAGTAGGCTGTTCATACGTCAATTGCATGTATACCAATACTGCGGTAAATGTCCTCTAACGTTTCTCTGTTAAGGAGGGGTTGAGTATATGGTAGCGGTGTTGAATCGTGTGAGTAGTAGTAGTAGGATATTGTTTTACCATGGTTGAGCTGCCCCCAGTCGGTGTACTCCTATGTGGAGGGGTATCGATGGATTCATCAGATCCGTCCTTGGCAGACATAGGAATCCCCAAGCCGCTTCTGCCAGTGGCGAACAAACCTCTGTATAGGTAGTGGTTAGATTTGAGCTCCGGTTCGGCCTTGTTGATGTGGATGGGTAGTTACGCAGTGCAGGCGCTGACGGCTAGCCCTTTGGTAAGCCGGGTGGTGCTGATAGGGTGGACAGAGCACGCCGATGCGTTACGGTCATCAGTGAGCGAGTATAAGGATCTGTTTAATGGAGTGGAGGTGTCAGTGGAAGGTGGGAGTGTGAGATGAACAACTCGACGTATAGTGTTTCTAGGGGTACCGGCCGAGGCTTCTGCTGCAGAGGCGTTGATGCTCGTGCTTGAACGACAGGCTGATCTTAAGGGGAAGTCTTTGCTGGTATGCGGCTGAGCTGTAGACCGCCTTTCTCTGGGGTATTGGGAGTTTCCCTTAGGTGGGCTATGGCGACTATATGGGCGCATGGCCGACTAGGAGTACTCAGTCAGCGGCGGAGGTGGAGGTCTCGATGGCCCGTAGGAAAGTTTGTTGTTGATGTTGTTTTGGTATAGCTTATTATTCCTGGCAGGGGTCAAGGATGTCCCTGAGGACTTCGTGTACACGGCGTATGGGACTGTGGAGAAGGTAGTGGTTGGGGGCATCGCTCGTTTGTATGGGAGGGGTCGGTTCAGACGATTGTGGTATTGAAGTCCGCTGAGGCAGTCGCTTTCGACGGCAGTCTGTCCCTGGGCTTGTCCAAGGTCTTTGCAGAGGGGGACGTGACACTGATGCGCAACCTTGTTGATAGCGGCTGTTATTACATGGGTGGCAATGCATTGGAGAGGCTGAGGGAGTTCATGGCTGATGACGATGAGGTTGACCGGAATCTGAGAGACGGCTTCGTACCGTGGATGGTCGACAAGGGCTATATGGTGATGCTTGGGGTAGCTCCTGGTTTTGAATGATGAGGTTCAGGTCCTGTTGAACGGTCCTTCTGAGTCTCCATCAGTGGACCCGTGTAAGAGCAGGGTTAAAGGGACTGAGAGCCTCCTACACTTCAACCAGCAGAAGTTGAAGCATGATCGTAGCACAGTGAAGGGCGTCCTGTATGGGTCCTCATCTACAGTGGAAGAGGGAACTGTTGTGAAAAATACGGTATTGGGAAATTCTGTGAGGATCGCTGGTGAGTTCGGTGATGAGGTCACTGTGAGTACTCACGACTTGTCAGATAAGTGCCGTGTGACGAAATCAGTGGTTATGGATGGTGTCGAGATTGATAGCGGATCTACAGTCCAGGAATGCGTGTTGGCTGAGGTATGGTATGTGTAAGTGGTAGTAGTAGGGAGTAGTTCATTTTAGGGATGCGAGATTGGAAGTAACGTGAAGTTGAGCAAGTGTATCGTGGCGAAGGGTGTTAAAGTGTTGAGGTCGGGAGAATACGAGGAGGAGGACTTTGATCACGACGTGTGTAGCTGAATAATCTGCTAAGTTTCCACGCCTTTTGCTTTGCGTATTGATGAATACCTGGTGTAGAAAGCGCTCGCCCTGGGATAGCAGGTATGGGTGTATCAACTAGGCTTCAGTGTTAGATGTCATTCACGGTTCTGAGGGAAGCGCTGCGATCGGTGGCGAATATTGACAGATTATTTATGGTACCGATGACAGCACAATACCCGCCATTGCTATCGATGAATCAGGGTGCTCATCCGAGTGGTAAAAGTAGAACAAAGCGTGGTAGAGTGAGGCGGCACAATTGAGATTTTGCCGCATGAGGTCGCCAGAGTTCAACCTTATTAGTTGCAGGGGTTGTAGGGTTATGGTGCTTTCTCATATTCGTAGTCGGCGAGTGAGGGATAGCGGTGTGGAGGCCGCATGCCTGTAATCACAATTTCGGTCATTGTAGGATATTCGGTTTACCAATACTCACGGTGTTGCTTCCTGCGGTCAATGGTGGTGGCGCGACAAGGGGCGTAGGAATCATTTCAGTTCACTATGGATGATGGCTCGAAGTGTAAGCCCTCGACAGCCGGAGCCCGACCGTCCTCTGATATTCCGGGTAAGCTCGGGAAGAGAAGGGGTAACGTACCTGTGTAGTAGGACTCATACCACTCCAATGAGAATTCTCGGTCAGGGGTAGTGGTCAGTGTTAGCCAGTTGCTAGAGTGAGAGTTTGAAATGACGAGTTGCTGATGGAAACCCATCGCGGAACACTCTCCGGTTCAGATGTATCGGAGGCCTCGTCTAATGCAGTGATTCTAGCTGTGATGAGGGAGAGGCTGGAGAAAAGTCTGAGGGACAAGGAGAAGATGCGACAGAGGATGGAGTTGTTGGAGGATGAGTTGGCTCTGTGCAAGGTGAGGAGGGATACACTTCTGTGACGACACTAGAGAGGCAGGTGAAGAAGCGGTCCTATAGAGCGGATGGTAAGCGTCTGAAGGCTGAAGTGGATACGCTGAGGGCGAGGGCGGCGTGCTTGGGTGAGGAGTCTTCTAGTAATGTGGAAGAGGTGCGGTATTGGCAGAAGACGGCAAAAGAAGCGAACAAGCACTTAACTGAGTAGATCTTTAATTCATGACTATACCATTGGGGTCTCTTTAGGATGAGTAAAAGCTACAGTCACGAGGTCCGACTCCTGCAGAAGGCAGTCGAGTGTGCCCGGGGTAGTAGTGGCGGCAAACAGCAGTTCAAACTGACCGAAACCGCTGACCTGGCCGAGAGACTGAGTAGAGCTGTCCTACAGAGAGATGAATATTTTCGGGAGAAGATACGCCTTGGGACCAAGGTGGGGACGTGTTCGTTACCCTTGGCTGATGAGCTCAGGAGTGGCCTCATGGGAGTTTATATACGAACTTGGGTGTGCAGAATTTTCATATAGTAACTGACACATGTATAACGCTGGTGGTTTGTAAACACCTGCACATAACTACTCGATTTGGGCAGGGCGGTTGGTGCAACTGCATCTCATCACAGGTACGGGAGTTTCGGCAGCAGGTGTCGGCCCTACAGAGAGACCG